CCCCAAAACCCCAAAACCCCAAAACCCCAAAACCCCTGAATAATTATGGTATTGAGAAGTCTTCAAAATTACTGAAACTCTCTTTTCCTGTTGCGTGATGCCCTATGCCTGTAAACATTCTCTTTAACCTCAATTTTAGTCTTTGACACAGAACTATTCTCAATCTCATCAGGTGAATCCTCTAGAGTATCATACAGCCGAGGTTTGCTCCTCTCATTAACCATATTATCCAATACTTTATTAGTCTTTTTCATTCGTTTTGGTTTTTCTTTAGTTTCTTCTCTATTCTTTCTATTTCTGCCCTTTTTCTTTCTACTTTCTTCCTTCTTTTTACGGATTTCTTCAAGTTCTTGACCTAGCATGTCAAAGTCTGAGTCCTTGTCTTCTTCAAATATGTGGTCATCTTTGATCTCCTCTCCTGTATTCAGCTGGGATTGGCTATCAATGAAATCCATGTTCTTTAATTGGGTCTGAATGCATTTTTGCATTATGCGGTCGATCGATTTGATTTGGTTCTTATTCCAAAACTCTTCATAGCCCTGGATGTCATCATCAGCCTTCTTTTCAAGCTCTCCAAGCTCTTTAAGCTTCTCTTTTACAATATTATCACTGATTTTCTTCCTAAATTCATTCTTGAAGTAATTTGACAGGTCTTTGCCCTGGTTCGATTCCAGGATATCCATAAAATCGTTCATGCCAATCATGTTGATTGATTTCCGGTTCTGTACAAGTTTGAGCATATTGGACTGGATCTGCCTCCGATGCCCTTCATTTCTGTTGATCTCTTTGATCTTCTCAGCCTCATTAAAGATATAACTCTCATCTTTTGTTGTGTCAATTTCAGTCTTCTTCGGCTTTTTATACCAGTGAAAGACTGTATCTGGGTTGGCGACCAGCCCTGCAAGTGATTTATTTGAACTTCCTGTTCCTAATCACTGTATAGCCTGAATACTCAACTTTTATCCTTGCTAAAGGAGTAGTAAACTCCTCTGGCTTTCCTAAATTAGCAGATTTCCTCAACAATTGCTTAACTTCTTTAAGTAAATGCTTCTCTACTAAATCATCTCTCTCAAAGTCAATGCCAGTTTTGCCAAGATTTACCTCTTTATATAAGATAGGTCTGGTGCATTTCAAAGGTCTAGGCTCAAGTTTGAAACACTTTTCATAAACTATGAGTTGAAATGAATGTTTTTGAACACTTTCAGCTTCGATTAAGCTCGTAGCCACAGAACTCCCAGGTTGAAGAATGTAATACCCATTTTCGACACATTCCTCTGCACCTTTGATGCATTCATGTTCGTGACCCCAGATGATTAAATTGAAAAATGGTGGGAAAAAGGTATCAACAATAGCATATCTCCGAGGTACTCCTTGAAACATTCCTTTAAATCTATTCTGATGCAAGACCAAAATATTAAAGTAGCTCTCATCAGGATTTCCATTAGGAAGGAGAGGTCTATTATAGAAGATATTGTCCTTCTCCTTGGCTAGATTGAGTCTCTCGTCTCGCATATTTCCTAGCCCATATAAAGCAATCTTGGTTTTCCCTTTAGTGAAAAGTATAGGGTTTATCTGAATCTTTTCAACATTAGAGTTTTTACCAAAATAATTTAGTTGGTGACTGGAATGCAAAGGATCAATGTTTGAAAGCCATTCACACCCAATAGGATCATCATGATTTCCATGAATTATATAAACCGGTAGTTGAACTTGGTACTTTCCTTGTATATAATTTGCTTCAGGGTACTGATCAGTTTCAAATTGAATATCAGGGTACCCAAACACATGCTTATTAAGCAACTCTGTTACACGCACAACTGTCTTCCTGCTAGGTTTATTTTTCATGAAATAGGTCTCCTCCTAACAAAAGGAAATCTGAATTTTCTTGAACTGCTGTTTCAAGAACCTCCTCAAAAGCTAAGAAAGAGTCATCCCCAATAATAGGGTCCTCTTCCTTATACCCACAATGATTATCAGTTGAAATACAGATGTTGAACACGTCTCTCTCATCAGCCTCTACACTGCCATCTTGACTTGAAGTTGACTCCATTTTGCTAAATTTTGCGCAATTTTTAGTAATTTATAATTCAATCCTAAATATTCTTAAAGGGGTTTTGGGGTTTTGGGGTTTTGGGGTTTTGGGGTTTTGGGG